CACATTGTAAAAACTATACTTTTACACAATTGGTGGCAAACGGATAAACAGGGCAAACAAACAAACAAGGTACGGTTTCAGGATGTATCTAATTACAAAAAAATTAACTTACAAATTATGTAACATAAATAAAATACTTAATATATGGTTAGGTAATTCAAGAGCCTTCATATATTTACTTCCTGTCTCGCAGACCAACCTCAGCACGTATCTAAGTCGAGTTTCTTTCAATTTGGGGCTCGTTGGACCTATTTGGTCGATTAATGGGGCAAACTTCCTCCTGTCCGCTCTTTTAACAGTTTCCATTGCGTTCTGAGAGCTTAGTGTGTCACGTATCTCATATGTTTGAATAAATCAGTGATATTTGTGTGATTGGGAAAGATAAAACGCTATGAAAGTTTTCTTAAAGTAGTTTTTATAGTTTAACATGTTTCTCGAAATAAATAAGCTAAACGGTTTATACACTTTCTTCATTAACAATACATCATAGAAGTGATTGTACAACAACAATTACTTTTCTGAATAGTGTACAAATCACTTTAATGATCCTCTAAAAGCTTTCAAGGTGAAGTTAATACCATTATTCTATAATTTTTATGTATATGTATGATGTCGAATATTTATTTTTGAAAAGACAGTTTGTTTCTAGTAGTCATATTTTGAAATACAGTAGTTAGGTTCTTTACGTAAATAAAGTTTTTGACTTGACTTTGATTAAATAGCATATTGGAAAAAGTGGAACTTAACTCTCTTCCCGTTTTACAACCAAAAAAGGTCTGTTTGTATCCAGAACTTGACTAACATAAAAACTTCTCCACCTCCCGAGTTAGTTCAGTTATTACCAAGTCGTTGGTTAACATTTACTTCAAAGGCGTTTGGAGTTTAACATTTCCTTGATTCGAATGAGTTTACTTCAAAGTGAATGTTGGAATTGTAAATACTGTACTACATGCTCGAATCAACACGCATGAATGTCTTATCAACTTTAAAGTCTAAAGTTCTCTCTGGATTCAATAATGGTTATTACTTTACTCAACAGTAATTTAAATTCATGTTCTGCAAATGTTCTTATTGCAAGTTCTCTTCAACTTCTAAAATATGTTGCTTGATTATTGTCTTTTGTTATCTTCATATAAAAATTAGGGGTCCGTTTTCACCTTCTTAGAAAATAGTAAAACCTATTAATAGCAAGTCTTATCAAACGCTCGATTGATTTAAAAAATACAAATAATAGTTAAACAAAATATGTAATTAGATAAACAACGAATTATAATGAAAAAATAAATAAAAACCCGAATACTTGATGGGTTTGTGATTGTTGACAACTGTGTAACTTTTCAACATCTCTCCTCGCTCAGATTACTTTTACCACCTTTTACTTGAAAATTTACCAAGTTATATTGACATCAGTGTTGGAGAGTAATATTTAACAAAGTTATTTCATTTTTTATTGGATTAAAGTTGAGCCATGGCTTATTTGTAACTGCCATTAAATTTTATTTTTGATTAACTTTCTGTGTTTTTGAATCGTTCACAATTATTATTAGTTTCCTATGACAGTGGTTCGGAATAGCTGCAGTCATTTACGGACTGTACGATTAAAACATTGAATTAGAACAAATCTTTTCTTTGTAAAAAGTACATCCAGTATCAGATATACTAGCATTGAAATGCGAGTAATTTGTCCAAACAAACTTTGAGTTCAAAGCATTGTTGGTTTTAAAAGTTGAACTGGTTTGTTTGTCGAAAAGTTTTAAGATCATTCAGACTTGAGAAGTTCAAATTCTTCCCGTGGATTTGTGCTAAACTAAGCTCAGACTTTTAGAGTTCTGATCTTAAACCCCAAATAACATTGTTATGCTTTTGTTTTTAGTCACAGGGAACGATGGAAAAGTTAAAGGTTTAGTGCCAATGCGGCGATATAGTTAAGAAAGTTCTATACATATGTCTGTAAAACAATCATCGTTGTAACTTTTACATTTTATCTACTTTGTTTTTATTTGACTTCAACGAATTAAAATAAATTTAAATTACAAAATAGAAGATGGATATAAATAAAATATAAATTCAAGAAAAAAATGTATCGGTTAATAATGACAATGATCCGTTTATTCAAAATGTTTGATTAGTTTAAGGTTGGTAGGCCTAATGTCAATTTAACTATTTCTGAGGTTTTATCGTTTGCCAACAATTTATGGTTTTACCCTTTAATGTGTGACCTTTAACATTGAAATATTAAAATAACCACTGCAATACACATTAAACGTGCATTGCAAGTATTAGTTACTCGATAGGGGAGGAATTGTCACATTAAAACTCCTACGATGATAATTTTTTTATGTTTACAAAACCTCGTTCACTAATTAATTACGTTTACAAGTCTCTCAACTTTTCACTCAAAAGTTTACGAAGATCGACGCAATTTGCATACTACACGAAAATTAAATCTAAAATCCCTGTGTGAAAATTAACACTATATTTCACCGCAAAATAATTTCGAAGCCCATACATTACAAGCTCAACGTCGGGGTGGTCTCAAGACCGCAATAATCGCGGGAAGATTATGTAAAATTTGCGGCAAGACTCGAGACTCGAGATGAGGGTGTAAATCTGGCGGTAATAAAGGGCTGAGGACGTGTGACGCCTGGCGCAATATTTGGACACAAGCTGTCACATGACGTCACAGGGGAGGGGGGGGGGTAGTTTATGGTGAGATACACTCGTCCTGGTGATACACAAGGGGAGGCGTCATGGGGAAATATGAACGGATTATTAAATTTTTTACCGTCGCCGCAGTTCTTTCAGTGATGGAGAGTTTGAAAGTGCGGGAGTTAATAATGTTCATAGTGGTAGATGGGTTGTGTGTAAAATGTAAGCTTTGTAAAGAGTCTTGATAATTTTAACCTATGTCCGTTCGCCTGGGTCACATAACATGCGTGTATGTCAAGCAAATCAAGGATGAGCCAAAAAGTACAGTAATAGACTGTACCAATATTGACTAAACAATAATTACAGTAACAATAACTAACAATAATGCTAAACGTACCAGTTGCACCAAGTCTTGAACCCACGACATCGTAGTCTTGGTATTCACCGCACTGCCGACATTCGGATAGTCATGAAAGACTTCATTACCTTGTTGAATAACGTACTTCAAATCAAATCGAAATCTCTTTATTCCTGAATAAATGTTTCATGTTTGTTACAAATTGTGTATGTACAGGAAAAATAATTCCCAAGTAGACTATTCGTCTGTGTTTGGGCTTGAGTTGCTAATACAGCTATACACAGGTCCATAAACATTCAGAAGTACTTAGACACAATGAAGATAGTGAATAAAAAAAATATTAACAATATGAAGAGAAAAAAACCTATTTGCATCGAAACATCCAAAACTCAAATTTAGTGATTGTAAGTGGTATTTAGCAACGAAGGGGGAAAAAATAATTTGCTGATGCATGAAACTGCACAAAATTATGAGTACAACGAATTGAGTAATCCTTCTGATTGCTCACTTTATTTGTGAGTGTAGGAATTCAAACTATTAATCGAGTTTGTTTTTTATTCGTTCAACATTTTGAAGTACACGTTGTAGTTTGTTTGAACAATTTGTAGGGATTTCTTTGAAGAATGTGAAAAATTAGTTGTCCTATGTAAAATTTAGTATTTAGATCATCAATGTATTTCACGACTTACAAATTTGTAATTTAACCTGAGCAACGCATATCTGTGGAAGATACAAAACACTCGTATCTACAGGTTTAGGATTTAAAAAAACTTACATTTTAAAAATATGTGTGCTATTTTATTCTCTGTTAAAAATTTTTTTATATAATAAACAGCTCACTGGACTAAAACTTAGGTTATCATTGAACCACAATTTTAGAAGCATAATATTGTAGTAAAGTTGTATAAACTTTTGCTTATCTTACGTTAGTGTCTGGCAACAAATTTTCAAAACACAATTACTTCTGTCGCTTTCATTTGTTACACAGCTAATTAAGTAGCAACAGTTAATTATACCGGACGGGGTGTTTATAATAAAGAGAGGGATTTGCGTCTCTCGCTTGTTCGCTTATTTCGTTTGCCGAGTGAACAGCTGTTGTAATCTCATTCACAGAGGAACGATATAACTCTATCTCTTGATGCTGAATTTGGATGTTACTAAACATGTTTTATACTGGGTTGTTTTAGTAAGTAAAGTATAGAGAATTTTTTTTCTGAACTCTTGAATGATGAAATCATATTTTTTTTTCTTTTTAGTTTGAATATTGTTTAAGAATATATTGACTTGGCCTCCATATTTTTGTTGTTGTTATATCCTGTAGAATGTTTCAAAAGTGTTTCACACAGTCATCGGTCCAATCACAGTTACTATATAACTACACCCATTTCTGAAAAAGCTAGTAATTAATTAACAAACCAACAAATGACATATGGGTCTAGAATAAAAATCAATCAGATCTTTTTTGTAATATTGTACTGCCATAGACTGACCAACACGTTTTATCTATGGTACTGCCTACGGTAATTACCATATAACAAACAAAGAGTGAGCCAAATAAACAAAGATACATTTAATTTAAATTTTTATTGTTTAAATCTAACTATTATTTGTTTTGATTTAAAAAAATACAATAAAAAAATTCTATGTACTGTGGGGTGCGAGTTGGTCTAGTGGTTAGTGCGGGGAATTTTGGTCTCTGTGGTCCCGGGTTCAAATCCTGCCAAATCACTAAAAGATTTTATCTAAGTGATAATGCCTCAAACTCTAGGTCTAGCCTGAAGTAATGTGAAAAACAAGCCCAGACTCGAGTCTAGCGTCCTAGGAAAAAAAACATTTATATGTACTGTATCACAATACAACCAGCTAAGAGGATAGGCACTATTTAGAGGTTGGTTGAGTTGATCACTGCCATTCGCTCAAGATAATTAATTATATATTGTACCATGTATTTTTACCCTCACTTCCACACCTGACCTTTTGCTGGGTGTTCCAGGAGTCATGTGAGTCCAGTGGTGCGTCCAGTGGAGACTCCAGCGAGGAGGATGGTGAGTGTGAGGAGGCGCCGTGTGACATAGGTCTGCTGGAGAGGTTGATCCGATCGCACCCTGTGTGGTTCCTGCCTGGCATACAGCGTGCCGGGGCCTTCCACCTACTACAGGGCAAGGAGGACGGGGTAAGTGGATAGATACGTAGGATGGAGTAGATTAATAAAATGATTTAGACAGATGCATTAGAATTGATCACTAAGTTTTATTTAAGAGATATCTAAGTTTTATGAAAGGTTTGGTAAAAAAATAAACTAAAGCAGCAATTACTCTGCTTTTACGATCAGTGTGCTGTGACAGAAGTATTTGAATTAATCCAGTATCTATTCAAGTTTGGTCAATAGTTCACAATCTTTTACCCCTCATATATTTGTTCTGTTTATGATCTGTTGATTTATATAAGAGTCTTCTCATCGAGTGTTGAATCCAAGCAGAACAGTTACAAGTTTACAAAGTTATCAGATAGCTAGATTGTTTTACCACTTTTACCCTCCACCGTATGTGTAACTGGGTTCAAGATCAGCATCAGTGTAGCAGTTACAGCAAGGATGTGTCTTATACAGGAGACTGCATCATATAATGATCGCTTCCTTGCATTACACACTTCCTGTATTTATCATGAACCCTCCCCTTGTTGGCTTCTTCTTTTTTCACTTCATTAGCTTTATCATTTTGTCTTTATCATACTTTCAATAGTAACTCTGAGATTAACAAATTATCTGTTCTTGTTCTTGTAGCAGTGTGTTTTTAGTGCAAATGTTACATTCTTTGTTTATGTAAACTTATGTATTAGTTAGATCTTAAATTAAAAGTATCACTCAAAGGTAAAGGTGAATTTGTGTATACATGAAATTTGAATAAAATAACATTTTCTTCTTTAATAAAACCCTGTTGCAGCAAACCTGCATACTGTACACATTTTTAAGCCGTTGTATTAAATTAAAATTGTCTAAAAATGCCTTTAAATAAAAAATAAAAAATATTTGTAAAATATGACATTATAATGAGCACTTACTATAAGCACTATGAGCACTACTAAAGTAGTATTGCTTTTGTGAAAAACCCCACAAAATGAATAAAAACGTAGAAATTTTTTATGGAGGTATAGCAAGCACTTAATCAATTAGTTGGTTCCCGATAAAAAAATAACATTAGAAAAAATAATCGTTTTTCATTTCAAATATTTTAATAATGAATAGGTAGTAGTAATAATGTGAGATATTAAATTGCTTTTCCTAAGAAGAAGTTAATGACAACACTATTAAAAATATAAGAAAATGTAAATATCTTTGATAACAAATAATTAAATAACTCGTTGATTAGCATTGTACATGTTATTAAATTTACAGAAAGTAAATAAAAGATACGTCTAATAACAGTTAAAATTAATAAACAAATAATTATTGAATGAAACAAAATAAATTTAACGGATTAATAATCTCACATTTGATTATAAGGGAAATAACTAGGTAATTATCGGAGGTATGGTTTCTGCAGGTTATTGGATAACTGTGAATGTGGAACTAATGTTATGCTTATTGGTTGTGTAATCTAGATTCTAGACTGGAACTTATCCAAGGACTGTTACTTTTGCCATGGCCAAGTTATGGTGTATTATTACAAGTTGTATATGAAAAGTGAGAGTTGTCTTGAACATGGAGTAGAAGAGATATAGATCTAGTCTATTGTCTTTTGCCTTGTCCTTTGATAGTCAAAGAATGAGATTGAAAAAGTCAGAACCAGTTGGGAGTTTTAGTGTGATGTGACCAATTTCTCAGCTATATATATCCATTTACTATAATATGTATATAAGTGGATCGCCTAATACCTAGGTTCCACAATACCTAGGTCACAATGTTCTAAAAAATTTTAGTGTTTGGTTACGTAAAACTATAACTATGTTATTAATTTTCTATAATAAATAATAGTATACATTTCCCTTTGTTGTAAAATACTGTACAAGTAAAAACGATTTTGTTGGAAGTGCTCATCCCAGCTTCTAGATAATTTTTTTATAGATGACCACAGCAATTACGCCCCATGGAATCGAATTACCAAAGCAACCTTTATCATTCATTTACCAACCATATTTCCATATATTATTTGTATATTTATTTGTAACAAAACCATGTCATGTTACAGAACTTTGTGGTGCGCCAGTCCAGTCAGACGTGCACCATGGCCATCTCAGTACGCCTGCCAGCTGGGAAGGGTCCTTACATAGAGCATTACCTCATACAGGCCGCAGACGACGGACAGCTCAGCCTGGAGAGCAGCGACAACAAGTTCGAGAGCATACCTGCGCTTATTGCTCACTACGCTCAATGCTGGTAATTGTTGATCTTAAATGGTGTTTTTTTTTAATGTCGGCTGAAAATGCTTAAATTAAACTGTTACTATTTAGTGTTACAGTAGACTCCCTCTTATCCGGACACCTTTTAACCGGACATTGGTTTAACCGGATTAGATCGGCAGGAAGTGGGCAGTACTGAAACGTCTGTTCTTGTGGGAAAGATTTGACACCAGTGATCACATGTCTAAATACAATTGTTAATGTATTTCCTTAAATACAACTTTTATTTCTGGGTATTTATTGTAAAAGGAAAAAATATATTTATTCTAATGAGTGAAATCCTATTCCTGGTACAATCCATCTTGAGAGAGGTTTTTAGTGAGTATCATCAATTTTTATCCCAATTTATTTAACATGTTGAAAAACTATATACATAGAATAAACAAGAAGTTTAAATAGTTAAACAATTAAGAAATAACATTGCAAAATTATGATTGTATTGAGAATGAACACATTCTATAAACAAAGATGACCAAGTAAATTAGACATTAAGCCAAACAAGAATTTTTCATACAAATATTTGCCATTATTTGGTTCACTAACATACACGAGAAAAATCTGAATCACTAAGCGATTTCCAATTAGCGGTTTGAATTCATAAAGGGAACACTGATTAATAAACGTAATGATGTGAGAACCATTCTGCGCTACGAGCCCCGTGTTTTGCACATCGAACACACATGTTGCACAAATGGTGTTGTGGATACGCCACCTGTTCAATAATGAGACATTGTAGCTGTTGTGTGTTGAAGCGTGTTTGTGCGTGTAGCAGCTGCACCAGTATTATGGTCCATTTCAATTGACACATGAATGCTTGTAAACTCACCATATTGCGCCTTTGTCTGATACCGTCTATTGGAGTATATATAGTTGGTTCCACTGCTCTGTTGATAATTCAGCAGGGTTACTCTTTTGAGTTTAATCTGAGGGGATTCCACTCTGACCAAAGTGAACACTTTGGGTTTATCGGTAGTTGACTACCACATTCATGAAATTGCAGCTTTTGAATATTTTGTTAAACTTTTTGAACTTTTTTTTTAGTTTTTACAAAATTTATTCAAGTTAAAATGTAATTATTTTGATGCAAGTTAAAAATACCTGGAGCCTGATACTGTTAGTCGATTCTAGATTTGCCTTGGTAACCAAAGGTTTTGGAGTGAGAGGTTCATTTATAAGTTAATAACCAAAAGCTTTGGAATATTCTTCTATAACTGGGGCTTTAAAGAGTTCTTATAAGCAATTGATGGCAAACAAACTCACAGACATAAAATGTAGTTTAGTAATCAAAATACTAAGTCAATTTTAATTTATAACTCAATATTGCAGCATCTCCTTAATGAAAATTCTAATAACCCTAGGAAGAGAGTGTTCATTGTGGTATGTATCTGGTAACTAATTGTGAGAAGCTATGATTTTTCCATCCAACTTACGTTGGGGAACACCTTTTATTAGAAGAAATTGTAGGGGATTATAGGGAAGTCGGGGATTTGTGTGAAAAGGGACAAGAGGGAGTAGCAAGGACATAGTAGGGTTTCTTTTTGGTAGTCCGTTCATGTAGTAAATGCAATTGAAAGATTTATCTATAGTCCAGCATCTATAGGGGGTTGAGTATGCACTGAAAGTGTAACTCTTTTTGAGTTTTGATTGTTGTTGGGGGCATCTTAGAGATGACAAAAACCAATGTTGTCGCCCTCCCAGCAGGTGCACAACTTGGGGGGGAGGGGGGGAAGGTGCTCTGAGACGCGTTCTAGAAAATCGCTTATATCTCGTGAACTAGACACGATAGAAACAAGCTCTAAATGGCATTGTATTACCAACTTTATCTGCTTTAAAAAAGTATCCAGGAAAAGTCAAGTATCTATGATATTAGTTGAGTTATTCAACAATTTATTTAAAAATTTGAATAAAAACCCCTAAAAAACGTTAAATTATCCATTAAAACCCCTGTAAAACAACAAAAAGTACAGTTTTTCATCGTGCATAATATGTTTTACACGCTAAAGTGACTTTATATGGTAATTATATCGAAATATTACAAGGTTATGCGAGGTTTCCGATGAAGCAAAGCGGATGACGCCGATGCGCGGCAGAAATCAACGTGTGGTACAGACTTGGGTGGTAAAAATTGGGTATGTACCGAAAGTGTAACGCATTTTGACTTTTGATTGTTGTTGGGGGCACCCTAGGAGAATCCTCCTAGGGGGCACCTTGGAGATGACAAAAACCTATGTTGTCGCCATTCCAGCAGGTGCACAACTTGGTGTGAGGGGGGGGGGAAGTAGCGCTGAGGCCTGTTCTAGAACATCGCTCATATCTCATGAACTAGACAAGATAGAAACATGTTTTGAACGGCATTGTATTAAAAACCGCATCTGCTTTAAATATTTTACAATGAAAAATCCCATATCAATGATAATAATTGAGTTATTTCACATTTTATTTGAAATTACAAATTTAAAGTCAAAATACCGTTTATCTACCTATATAACTCTCATAAAACAATGAATCGTACTGTGTTTGGAGTGCATTCTATGTTCAACACACGAATTACAAAAAGTTAAGTAGACTGTACTTTCCTTAAAATAATATGTACGGAGTTCTTGAGTTAGCGAGAAAATAATTATAAGCTGTTGTTAACACTAGGCTATTTTAAATATAAAACTTAAACAAAAATCTAGGTACAACTACCAAAGAAAATGCTTCAGTTTGAAATGTATACGGTTTTTATTAAAAGAATATTAAAATAGACTTGGAAATGCTGTACTTCATTTTAAAACTTAACTACCATATAAACTGCACATAAGAAAACAATGGATACTATTTCGGTCATATTGTTTTTAACGGTCTTAATGATGAGGATTTCTACAATTTTTAAAACATTTTCAGTAGGAGCAGCAGGATGACTTGTTTGAAAAGCAGCTACAAGTTGATCTAGAACAAGTCTTACATATACATGGCTTAAGCAAATTTGTAGGAGCCGGGGGCAGGGTCATAAGAAGGGGGCGCAATTTTCCTGAGCTGTCTTTGAAAAATCCGTACTGGAATAGATCTAAAGGCTCTATTTCTGCTGTCAAGGACTTTCCCCAAAAATATAGTTGGGCACTACACCGTAACAGGTGTAATTTAAAGCTGCCTGGTGTTCAAGGCATTTTACTAATGTCCTTGACTGCAGATGGATTAGTTGTGATTTCTATATAGCAGGTGTCATTGTAGGTGCTTCCTTTTCTTCTTAATCCTGCTGATCCTACTGCAAATGTTTTAAAAATTGTAGAAATCCTCATCATTAAGACCGTTTCAAACAAGATGACCGAAATAGTATCCGTTGTTTTCTTATGTGTAGTTTTTATGGTAATTAAGTTTTAAAATGAAGTACAGCATTTCCAAGTCTATTTTAATATTCTTTTAAAAAACCGTATACATTTCAAACTGAAGCATTTTCTTTGGTAGTTGTACCTAGATTTTTGTTTGAATTTTATATTTAAAATAGCCTAGTGTTAACAACAGCTTATAATTATTTTCTCGCTAACTCAAAAACTCCGTACATATTATTATAAGGAAAGTACAGTCTACTTAACTTTTTGTAATTCGTGTGTTGAGCTTAGAATGCACTCCAAACACAGTACGATTCATTGTTTTATGAGAGTTATATAGGTAGATAAACGGTATTTTGACTTTAAATTTGTAATTTCAAATAAAATGTTAAATAACTCAATTATTATCATTGATGATTTTTCATTGTAAAATATTTAAAGCAGATGAGGTTTTTAATACAATGCCGTTCAAAACATGTTTCTATCGTGTCTAGTTCATGAGATATGAGCGATGTTCTAGAACGCGCCTCAGCGCTACTTCCCCCCCCCTCACACCAAGTTGTGCACCTGCTGGAATGGCGACAACAAAGGTTTTTGTCATCTCCAAGGTGCCCCCAACAACAATCAAAAGTCAAAATGCGTTACACTTTCGGTACATACCCAATTTTTACAAGTCTGTACCACACGTTGATTTCTGCCGCGCATCGGCGTCATCCGCTTTGCTTCATCGTAAACCTCGCATAACCTTGTAATATTTCGATATAATTACCATATAAAGTAGCGTGTAAAACATATTATGCACGATGAAAAACTGTACTTTTTGTTGTTTTACAGGGGTTTTAATGGATAATTTAACGTTTTTTAGGGGTTTTTATTCAAATTTTTAAATAAATTGTTAAATAACTCAACTAATATCATAGATACTGGACTTTTCCTGGATACTTTTTTAAAGCAGATAAAGTTGGTAATACAATGCCATTTAGAGATTGTTTCTATCGTGTCTAGTTCACGAGATATAAGCGATTTTCTAGAACGCGTCTCAGAGCACCTTCCCCCCCTCCCCCCCAAGTTGTGCACCTGCTGGGAGGGCGACAACATTGGTTTTTGTCATCTCTAAGATGCCCCCAACAACAATCAAAACTCAAAAAGAGTTACACTTTCAGTGCATACTCAACCCCCTATAGATGCTGGACTACTACTGCTAATTGAATTTTCAAATATTCTATTGAAAAACTTTTTCAGAATTTATAAACTAATACTACTTATCACCATTCTATCAAAGATGCAATGCTTATCAATTCACAAAACTTCCAATCATATTATATTTTAAAAAAATAAAAAATATTACAATATATGTCAACATTCTATTTTCTGGCGGAACCACTCTGAGGTTGTAGCAAGAGAGAGATAACTAACTGTGCCACTGATAAGAGAGTTCTAGTCAGCTGTGGTGATACTGTTTGTATGTTCCAGTGATGAGTTACCAGTGCAGCTCACTCTACCCAGAGCGATACGAGAAGCTAAGAACCGGCAACAGTTGTCTTCCCTGGCGTTGCTCGGACAAGGTAACAAACACTGCTTACGTTAACATGTATATACTTACTCGCTAAGAAACTTAAAATATATTGACAGCTTTTATTTAAAGTTTTAGTTTCAAGTTTCCTGATACACAAGACAAGGAATTATAAGAGGGTTTGATTGGTGCATTTTGATAAGTGAAATTGTTACTGTATCACTCTAAAATATCTTATTTAAATCGTTAGCTATTTGTTTTTAAAGGTTTGTAATCTTCTGTAACCAAGCCTTGAATGTTTCGGCGATTAATAAAATGTTGGCTTAAGGTTGTGTATAAAAACAAAGCGTTGGTCACTATAAGTTAATTACTCCTATTTGCTCGAATGCCTCATTTACTACTGAAGAGGGAAATCGACTATTTTCTCCGATTAGAGGGGAAGTCAGTACATGAAATGATCATCAAATGCTGTAATGGCTCATGAAATCCACTCCTCCGAACTAATTTAATGATCAGGAAATAGGGAAGACATTGTAAAAGTCAGACAAATAAAATGTAACTAATGTGATGGGGGCTGACCCATGTTCATGATGTAGAAGTTTGATTTACGAATATCCTTTAATTCTTCAACCTCCTTGTGTTTATTTATTGACGAATAGTATTTGATATTTATTAGTATACTTTTTAAGTCAATCAGTTGTTTAGTTGTATACAATTTGGTCATGGTACAAATATTTGATACATATAATTGATTCCAAAGAGTCACTTCTTTTTATAGCCCTAGTACAATTCAGTTTGGAAAAAACATCATAAAATTTACTTGTGTTAACTTTGTAAAATACTTTTGGGTAAAATGCATTGTGCAAAGGTCTTGCTTTTTGAAAGCTAAATCCAAGGTGCTAAGCTATTGATGTCCAACTTGGCTATTCTATGATGTGTGAGGAATCCACCAAGAAGGACCATTAAATGGCATCATTGACTATGTTATTCATTGTCTGACATTTTACTTTAGAGTTACATGTTAGATTAGGGCCTGTCCTTCACAATATAAACTTCATAACCTTAGCGCCCATCAGAACTAAAACTAGAACTAAAAAAAAAACTAAAACCATATTTTAGACTCGTCTTGTGAATGCATGAATCTCACAATATGTATTCGATTGCTGCCCGTCAGAAACTCATTTTTGTTGATTTTGTTTTTCAGTTTACTTCAATTCATTTGTCCTGTATACTTGGCAAAACTATCACTAACTTATACTCAGTCCTTATAGTTCAAACTTATGTTGTGTGACTATGACCTATTCCATGACATATTAAACATGTTAAACATTGGTTACAACAGGTAGACAATGGGAAAAAATCATACTCTTCATAAGAAACTCTAATATTTCTACTTTACAACACCTTTTTAAACCCATCCTGATAACGAAGTAGATAGGTTATGCACAAAAGCTATGAATGACTTAGCACGACCTGAGTCCACCCCTTCTCTAGTAGTAAGTTTCATTTTTACTTTCTCCCCCTATACCATAGTATATGGAGAAAGTATTGTTTTCGTCAAAATTTTCGAGTTTGAGTTTTGAGTGGATATATTCGTTTTGGGTCCCCCTGGACCCAAAAAAGTGGTTTTCGAAGTGATGTCTGTGTGTGTGTGTGTGTGTGTGTCTGTGTGTCTGTGTGTCTGTGTGTCTGTGTGTCTGGATGTGTACAGAGCTAGAGACTACACCTGTGGTCCGATTTCGATGAAATTTGGTATGTAGGTTCTAATCCATGGTATCTCCAGGCGTTTTTTTCATTTTTTTGAAATTTTGATTTTTAATGGGGATTTTCCCATAAAAACCCATAAAAAACCGGAAAAATCTGATTTTCTCAAAAATGGCCCGAACGATTTTGATAAAAATTTAGTATGTTGTAGTCCTTTAAAATCTGAACAAAATGGCACAAATCCCATTTCTGTAAAAATTACGGTTCAAAAGTTATGGTAAATTATGTTATTTTCCCATAAAAATCCCATAAAAAAACGAAAAATAGGATTTTAGACAAAAAAATACGTTTTTATTTAACATAGTATGTTATGATCGTTACAATTTTGATAGTTTTTCTCATTTCTTAGAAATTTTTATTTTTAATGGGTATTTTCCCATAAAACCCCATAAGATGACGGAAAAAAAAGATTTTCCCAAAAATGGCCTGAACGATTTCGATAAAAATTTAGTATGTTATAGTCCTTTATATTCTGAACAAAATGGTACAAATCCCATCTCTGTAAAAATTACGGTTCAAAAGTTATTGTAAATTATGTTATTTCCCAATAAAAACCCCATAAAATAACGGAAAATTATATTTTCCCAATATTGGCTCGAACGATTTTGATAACAATTTAGTATGTTATAGTCCTTTAAATTCTGAAGAAAATCTTACAAATCCCATTTCCGTATATTGACTATCACCGCTTACACATGATAAAGGTTAGTGATGTAAAATACCCAGGTATTTAAAACTCAAGGTAAATACCTTGGGTATTTACCCGGGTAAATACCCAAAATCCATAAATACCCGGGTATTTTGGGTATTTATGAAATCGATTTAAATTCCTTTTTATATACCCCTAAATATGTTATTGAACGTTATCATTACATGATAAATTAGGATAGTCTATTTCACCTTTTACAGTATCTTGAAGCTTTGCAGAATTGCTAGTACCTTTTATTTAATGATTTAGCACTTTTTTATGAAATCAAGACAACACCTCATCAGAGAAATAGTGAACCTAAATCTACTTCTACTGTTATTAAATTATGATAGTTAAAATTTGTATTGTGTAAATGGCTTGGAAGGCTAGACAGACCCAAGGCCTGATTGATATAGGCAGAATGGCAGAATACTGAATGTACAGTAGACTCCCTCTTATCCGGACTCCTCGGGACCGAGGCTAGTCCAGATAACGGGTTTTCTGGTTAAACCGACGTCCCCAAAAACTTGTTAAAACAGAAACCGTGTACTGGTACTGTCATATTCGACTTTAATTTAGGAGAGCATTGTATTTAGATACGTGATCACTGGTCTCAAATCTTTCCCACGAGAATAGTCGTTTCAGTACCGCTCACTTCTTGCCAATCTAGTCAGGTTAAACTAATGGGCTGATAAAAATTGTCCGGTTAAAAGGTGTCCGGATAAGAGGGAGTCTACATTAAACTTTTCTGTGTTACCGCTTAGTTGGGAACAATAATATATTTGGATAAACCTATTAAAAAATGTATCTCCTGTTTTTTGGTCTAACTTAGGGCCTATAATATAATTTTGAAAGATTTATTGTGCTATAGATTCAAATTTTTTGTATCACAAGTTTATGAAATTAGTTTTTTTTTATAAGTTTACCAACAAAAGATCTAGAACAAAAATATTATTAAATCCTGCCATCCTACAGATTGAATTTTAATTATTTTCTTAAGTTGTTTACACATAGGCCACTACTAGGTTGAATTTTCCAGTCTTTCTAAATAATAATTATTACTTTACAAATAATTTTTCTTCACTTTTAATAAAATAAATTCATCTATCTATCATAGAAATTAAAAAATCATAAGTAGTCAGGACCAGTGCAACCATGCGACCAGGGTATTTATGCCGATTATGCTTTATGCTCAGACCTGGGTATTTATGGCGATCATACCGAGAAGTAAAATGCTAGTAGTGACCATATGAAATTTTGATTAACACATTTTATTATCATTTTGCTATCCTTACAAGGTAATAATTGCAAAAAAACATCTCAATCTTTTCTAACTTTAATACAAATTATAAATACCCAGTTTTTGGGTATTTACCCGGGCCTGGGGTAAATACCCAGGTAAATACCCAATTTATATTTACCTACCCACTGGGTATTTACCCGGCCCACATCACTAATAAAGGTTGTTGACAAACTTATGGGAGAAAGTATGTGTCAGAATGCTGATACCGTTTATTTTTTTGTTCATTTGATTAGTGGAGTTTGTTGTAGCTCAAGTAATTCTTTATTAGGCAGAAGAGTTTTTCAAAGTCGTTATAATGTTTCAGAGTTCTGGAGATATCCAATGGCCAATCCCCGCCCTGCCCTGGACCCGCATCCCCCGCCATGTGGTCCGGTGGAGGGGGTGGGGGGGTTAGCTTCCTCCCTCCCCTCCAGCGCCTCCAACAGCCAAGCCAGCAGCCTCAGCAGCTTTGGAAGTGGTCAGTATCTTGAGCTGTTTTACTGTAGTGACTTTGAACAGTGAAGAATCTAATCCATACTGATTTTTAAGATTTTTTGATACGTTTCAGTTTCTAAAGGTAGACTGGCAAGATGAATGGGATTTGCAAGAATATTGAAGTTTTTGAACCTGAAAGTTGGAAATATCTAGAAGGTTGTGTGGCTTATGTTGTGGTAAAGAATAGTGTAGCTGTTGACACTGTTCCCTGTGGAAAGAGGTTGAAAGAGAAGACTTTGAAATATATTGTGGAAGTGGTTCAAGAAGACATGCAGAATTTACAAAGGTGATGAAACAATTGCTGAAGATAATGTGTTTTATTGCTGACCTACGGACACTATTATTTCAAAAGGTTTGAGATATTCATATCAAATTGTTTTCAAACTACATTATGTACTATTGTAATTATTGATCTGTTGCAAGAATCTTACTCTACTCTAAAACTGTTCAATGTTTAAAAAGTTATGTTTTAAAACTGTGTTTAAAAAACTGGAAGTATATGTTAAATTTGTCTTCTGTAAGTTAATGTAAGGGTTATTTTATATTATTACTGTATACTTTTAGTTACCCTACTTCTGTGTTTTTTTGTAAATAAAAGTTTCTCCTCAAACGCCCCTGTCCATTGTTCCCTACTGAGTCCCCAGTCTTTTATAAATCCATTTGCCAGGAAGCTACAATTAGTGAAGTGGAAACGATGTAAATTGCATTCCCAACAAAGTTAACTCACTTTTTGTTTTGCTAAACAGAACTGCTTTGCGAACCAAATGTGTTTAATCTAATTTGAAGCCTTAATTAAGTCCTCATCCCCTGTCTGTCCTCTGGTGCAGACTTCTTGACGAGTTTTGGAGTGTTTTTGTAAACTTGACAACAAACTGTTTAGCAGTGATTTCTATAGGGAGGATTAACACTTTGAAGTGAATCGTCAAAGCAATTAGACTTCATATTTAGGCTGAAGTTTCTTATGAACATTTTACAATTTATAATGTACACAATTTTTTTAGCAAGATTATATTTTTCTCGAATGTGATGTGGTTTTTTTTATATTTATTCTTTGTATTGACATTGTACCTTTAAATCTCCTTTTTAAAATTGCATAGTAAAGTCATTTTGCTTTCCATCTTTTCACTACTTTTTTTATTATTCTTGACGATATGTTTTTAATTATGCCTTTGATCTCAATATGTTAGTATGAGTTGAATTACCAGATGTTCAATTATTGATCTAGTTTTCATCTATTAGTCGATTTCCATTGTTTGCGTTCTTAAATACACTTCATACTATATCCAATCCCGCTTTTATTTTATTTATACAGTACCTATAAAAAACATTCCTCAAATTATTATCAATAAATAAAAAAACAATTTATGTACAACTTTGTAAATATGATTTTTTTATTATCAATGAACAAACACCGATAGCTTTATTTCATACAGTCAATTAGCTTTTTTTAAATTTGTATAATTTAATTTAACAGTGCGCTTTTTACTTGAAAAGCTAATAAATATCATATTTTTTACCAGACAAATTTATGATAGAATGTTACTATACAATAGGAATATCCATTTGCTGCTGAATTATTTGTACAAAGCTTCCATCAGGTTTACGAGCTTTTCAATCAATTAAATTTGATTTCTTATTGAAATTCTATGCTATAATATCCTCTGCATTCAACACTTCAAAAATACTGTACAACATAATTATTCAACTATTAGTGGCCTGCTTTGCTACATTTAATCAGGTCGTAGCCCATAAACCATTCCCCTACCAAATTACTGATTCAGAGAGACACTATGGGGGCCCAGGTGGACAGTATTTTTTGTAAATTGGTTGAGGAGACTTGCAATCCCGAGCCAAAATGGGATTAGTTGCGAGGGGAACGTAATCAGCTGGCAACTCCTGGACTCTTGATTACTGGAGAGTCCGGGAATCGGGAGTTCTCTGGTGCCAGATTTGGTCAGCAGATTAAAAGAAAATGTGATTAAAAGACTTCTGAAAGCAAACTTAGATAATGTCAGGTTTTTTTTTCAAAAATATATAACGATAGCAGTAGTCCTACAGATTTTCCCCCTTTTAAATATTTTGTTTATTGTTAAAAGTATTTTCTGAATAGTTGAAAACTGATACTCTGACAAATAGGAAATGTATTATTTATATCATTTTTTTACCTTTTTTTGTAAGTAATGACTAAGTAAGGTAGCAATACAAACTACATTTGAAAATGAAACTCATTACTAGATGATATATAAACATTTTATTATTTGCAGTGTACAGCGTAAATAGAAAAAGAATGAATATCATTCTAATATTATAAATGTGAAAGTTTGTGTGATTGTTTGTTTATTTGTTTGTTTGTTTGAAGTTCAATCAAGCTTTAACTACTGGACGGATTGAGCTGAAATTTGGCATGATGATAGCTAACATTCCCGATTAACATATAGACACATTTTATCTCAAAAATCCCTTTGGGCTCCGCCCCAGTGGCTCTGGAGTTTCTCATGTTAACCTTATGAGTATTCATATTTAAAAGGAATTAAAGAATTTAGTCAGCCGTTTCAACTATTTAAGTTGGTTCTATAATTTGCAATAGCATTAAAAAGTTAGAAGGTTTATCAACAGGGTGCAGCACTATTATCTTTTTTGCATTTATGACAACAGCTCATTTGAACTAAACAGCAACAAAAAAACTGTGTTATGCAATAAGAACGGTCAAAATAATATTGTTTACAGTTTATATTTTTTAATTTAATGAATTATTTGTTATATTGTGCGAATGTTTGATAGTTTATTTTTTCTATGATTTAGGGGCAATGGTAGAACATTATGGCTATGGTAGATGTGTAATACTATAGTATACCGTAAATTTAAAGAACCAAATTTACCAAACTGTGTCCTCCCTCATTGCAAATGCAAAACTTTAGTATAACTGCAATAAGCATTTTATACTTATATGCCAACCCCGTACGAAGGACAGGTACTCTGCTAGTAATATAATAAAAAAACAGCGTTGATAATTTTCATGAATTTTAGTAAGAAATATTATCATTGAATATTATAAGTAAACATTTGAAGGGATTTACTTCTAAACATGAGGGCTAAATTAAGTAGCAAAGTAAGCTAGGCAGAAATTTTCTAAACAAAGTTTACATCCCCAACATTCTCTAGCTTTATAAAATTTTAAAACCGAGGGTTGAAAATATCTTATAAAAATGTAAAATCATCCCTTAGAGGGTCTTGTTCTACCATGGGTAAATTGAATTCGAGAAGGCCCGAACAGAGATTGTCCCCTTAATTTTGTTTGTTTAAGGAGTTTTAAGTGTATTACAAACTCATCTCAAACTCTCCCTACCATACTGCCCCTTCCCCCCCCCCCTAACTAGTGCCCTAATTGTACAAGTTGGGATAACAGAGGCCACAGACAAAATAGAATTGAAAAAAGTCCGGGACAAAAAGTAAAGTTCGGGACGTCCCAATACGGCCATTGTGCCAAAACTCAAGGCTGATTAAGCCATTCCCCTCTTGGATCTTCTCCTGATCATGAGATAATCTCATTTCAGACTCTGATATTTTTTAACTACTTATTTTGCTGAGTCATCCAATTGTTTGATAAGAAACGCAGTTGAGGTATATCTGTATTTAAAACTTCTTTTAAGATAAGATAATTTTTGTATTTAATACTAAAATTAAATTTAAAAAACAAACAGAACAGGTAAGGCATACTAGAAGATAATAAAACTGTTAGTCTTATGTCAATGTCTCAAATAATTTCAAGAAATAAAAAAATATATACTACACAGATTTGTGAGCCATAGGTAATCATTTTATTCACTTTTTGTTTAAACAAGTCAGTACATGGTAAGCTAAAGTTCTCCCCAAGTCTTTATTGTGGTGAGAGTTGTTTTCAAATTGAATCACCACCGTACAATAGCTACAATGAACACCCCCACCCCTCCCTCCTTCACTCCTCCTCTTCTGTTTGATTCATGCAAATTGTCTTCACATCCAAGAAAAGCTTCCGTTGCTTTGTTATGAAACGTAAATACAATAAGCTCAGTGACTGCTGTTTTATTGGCAATCATTGTTCACTCAAGTTTTTCGGTTTACAAAGAGATTTCGTTCTTTCTTTCCATATGTTTGTTCTCTATGGCTTTGTGTCTTTTAGAAGTGTTTCAACAAATAAAAGAAAGTATTTGGGAAGTATATTGATTCAGGTTGTTTGATAGCTTATATTCCCTGGAGTTTTAACAGAGTGACAGTACTAGAGGCCCAGTTTGAGCTCACAGTTTTCACCAACGGTAATTTCCCTTACCTGAGTTTTTGTAGCCAACCTCTGGATCCCATTATATAAATCTATATAACAAGTAATAGGTATTTTTGACGGAGAAAACTAGATGTAGCAATCCTCCTCAACTACAAGTAATTAATACACAAAATCTTCAACCATGCACTAAAATTTGAATAATTAAAACCCTGTCAGTTTATTTTCTTAGTGGGTAATTTTAAAATTTTTGGTAGTTTAGAGCTTTTGTGTTTCTTGTCCTGGAGTAAACTCTTCCCATTCACGTAAGCTTGCTATTCTAACAAAAAACCTTAAAAACATTGAAATTGTTCATTTACAAAATAAAATCCTTCTCATAAATATTACTCTGGTGCAAACCATTAAACAACAATAATGCAATAAAACATTCTGTGGGGTTGTTGCAGGCAACAACAATGTGTGTGTTAGTCCCACGATGGAGCAGGAGTGTAGGAACGACTCCATAGTCCTGAACCTGGCCCCTCTGGAGTCCTCTCCCTCACCTCAGCAGCCACCGAGCATCCTGAGCACATTCAAAGGCCCAGCGAACAACTCACCAGCGGCCAGCGAGCATGTTGGTAAGTGTCAACATGATGTGACATCATGGAGGGAACGATACATGGGCTTATTGCATTGTTTGAATAATTCAAATGTAAACTTCATAATATAGGTAATATAGGTAGTTTAAAATTGAATAAATAAATGTTTGTTGATGAACGTAATATATTCCAGCTCAATTCAAACTAGATGTAGTTTTTTAGTTAAAAAATTAAAACATTCAAACGAGGTAATATAGCCATTGGTAGAAAAAATAATTGTTACATTTCGCAATGTATTTCTAAAAGATATCACAACATGGCCTGAATTTGTTTATTGTCTAACAACACATGGATTGATGTGGTATGTTTTGATAATGTAATGTTTGTGTGTTCAATGCTAAAATTTTGCTGTTTATTTTTGAGGCTTGGATTAATCTCGTGCTAACAACTTGTTAAATTGAACCCTTATTTATTACAATAATTAATGGAAGTATTGAAAACTGTTTATGTCTTAAGAAGTAAGCTAAGTAAGAAGTAAATACTTGTTATCTCCCCTACTAGTGGCAGCACTATCCAGACAAGCTGCATTTGCTATAGAAAGATATGGCATTTACAACCTGATTTTGTATGAAAACTGATATTTCACAATTTTGGCATTTATGATGTTTTGGAAAGGCACGATTCAAATTTACGCAAGCTCCGAAAGCCCCACAATTTTTGTCTGCAATTGTAGGGAGAAAAATACATTCAAATATCAATGTGAAAAAATCTTCACTTAGCAGCGTTATACATTTCTGTCACCCAAAACATTACCGTACTTATTTTACAGTTATGACTGGAAGTAATAACACAAAAATTGTTAACCGCCAGATTTTCTTCACTATTCATTCTAGTTCATTGATAACATAAATATTCATTCAGTGAAATAGTAGTTTCCATTACTAGGAGCGAAAGTGGCTCTTTTTGGTACTATTAAAAGTACGGTACCAAAAAGATACTTTCGCTCTGTGTGATGAACAACTATTTTCATCATACTGTAGAACTAGTCTTCTAATTGGTACAAAATTAGACCACATAATTTGAAGTTATACAGTCGTCATCAATGCTTACATTTCTGTTGTCTACAAACATAACATAAAAATTTAAAATATTTTGTGATTAACAGCATTTTCATAACAGTTTGGGGTTGCCATAAACAAATTATGAGGTTAGCGACGATTTCGATTGTTGTTTTCTGAACAGTATGATGAAAAATTCTTTTTATTCATAAGTTTTATTCGTTACCAAAACAAATATGATCCTGGCAAAAAGTCTGTTACTCAATAATCTCTTTCTCCTTAGTCAACAAATGGAAGAGAATACCTGTCCTCTCTTCTCCTCTCAATTGACAGTCTATCCCTTTGCTTCCCTATCTCTTTATGATTTGACTGTGAGGGATTTTTTCATTATTGTCTGATTTTAACACATGATCCTGGCCAAACAAAGAAGCTGATATTAAGCCCCCCATACACGGGCGAGCATATTCGCAAGCATGTTGGCGAACATGCTCGTGAACATGATCGGTGTTGTCAACAGACGGACGAGCATGCTCGAGAACATGATCGCCGCTACCACCCAGTAGGCCTTCTCTTGCTTCTCTTGAGCTGTGACAGTCAAGTTGTGTTTATTTATTTAAATTTAATATATTAAATTAATTTATTTATGGATGCTAATGCTGTTGTGGCCATTTGTGGTGACTATATTATGGTGACGAGCCGAGCGCCGAGCCCAACATGTTCGCTGGTACGAAGGCTCGCGGATCCCACACACGAGCGAGCATGTTCGCCGCCAACACCGTCGCGAGCATCGTCACGAGCATGCTCGCGAACATGCTCGCCCGTGTATGGGGGGCTTTACACATTATGAAATGTAGGTCTCCCCTACATACATTCAGCTTATAATTGAAGTGATCAAGTGATTTACAGTCCTCATAGACACTGTATTGACCAGTGATGTGTATTTTCAGGCAGTCCCTCCCCCCCTTCGCGCAGCCCTCCCTCTACCCATATAGCCAGTTACCCTTCTAGGGCCCCCAGGCCAACCCCCCCTAACACTCTCAACCTCATCTGCTCTACCTTGGCAGGTAACAACAACAACAACAACAACAACCATAACAAGCTTGAAAGAGTGTGTCACACTGTATATAATTCATCAATATTTTGAATTGAATTTTATAAATTTTTTAATACAAGGCCTGAATTTTCCTCCTTTTAGAAAATTATTTTTTTAAACACTCTGAAGTAGACTCTGCTGATCCCAAAAAGTCTGCCTAATTGTATACCTTATTACACTCCCTTAGCAATAAGAGAGTGTCCCTGAACACCATTTAAAACATATTTCGAGAGGCGCTTAAATTTTACCAATATTGATCGATTCATTTTAAGGATCAAATCTTGATTTATGTCAAGAAATCAAAATCAATAGCGGAATAGCCCCTTCTTCTATCCTACCATCTTTAGATTGTATAAATTTAAGTTAATTTCTAATATATTTGTTAATCATACTAAACATATAATCTGACAGATGTGACATTCTCTTTAAGGCCGAATGCATGTGGACTTTGTCTGCATGATGAAGAGTTACTAACCCTACCTGCCTGTGTATTATGTGCCCTTTTGGTCTTGACAGTCTGAGTTATAGCATTGGAATGTGATTCATTTATATTTATAATTTATATTGGTTGCATTTCTAATAAAATAAAGTGGGTGAATACCTCTTCATTCCGTAGGAACTACGTTTCTTTCTGTGAGGTGTTAGATTTATTTTACCCTTAAAAACCCAGTAGCAACCTAGAGAGCTTACATTTGTGATACAAGATTGTTCAGCCTTCCAAATTAAAAGTTGTAGTATTCAAATTAGAACTGTGTGTGTGGTTTATTTAGCCCTTTTATGTAAAATTACAATTATAATTTGCATATGAATACAAAGAAGTTAAAAAGAAGTATGGACACAAAAGGTAAGTTTTGGCATGAATAAACAATGGGCTTACCCCAACTCCGCGCGGTGGTCAGAAATCTGTCAAAACCGACTGCCCAACTCCGCGCAGTGGTCACTTCGGGTCCCTCGCGGCACATGCCCAACTCCGCGCAGTGGTCAATTTTGGCTCTCACAGCCCTGACGGATGAGAGTTTGTGCTCTAAGTTTGAAATTATGATATATTTTCATCATTTATAAGAAAGGAAAAGTAAAAAGTATATGCCTACCCAAAACAGGAGACGAAGCTTAAAAACCACTAATATAAGAAGTTTTAAAAAGCCCGTGAGAAAGAGTGACTGTAAATTTATATGTTCCAAAGTCTACAATACTCAATCATTCTTTTTAGCACTGGGTTTATGAGCTTGCTGATAAACTTGAGTACCAAATTCAAAAATGTTAGTCTTGTAAACAACCACAGATTGCTTCAACAAATTGGCTGTAATCTCTGTTTCATAAAACAGTTAGCTATACACCTCAAATTGGGGGGAAAATTGGCTGAAATTGGTTTACGAGCATATTTCTTTTACATCTTATTAAAATTGGCGAATTTTACGTCTATGAAGAGGGTTTTCATTGAATCTAGACCCAGACCAAGGTTTTAGCGAATTTCCCATATATAGGGAATAAGCTATTACCGTAGGTCTCATGGTAAGACCTGGACTCACTGATTAAATTTTTCGTTTTTATTTCCCAAAGGCCGAAAACACCATCCGTTCAAATTCATATATATATATATACCGGTATATATATTTTATGTGTATATATGTAAGTCTGTTAGCACGATAACTCGAGCAAAATGATCTGATTTTGATTAAATTTGGCGTGAACGTGTAAACCGTTTATTCGAACGAGTTCACAAACCAGCACGATTGAACCATGTGAACTGGGGCTTATGTATATATTATGAAAGTATAACGTTTTTAAATTTCTTTTGAAACCACTTTGTAAAGCTTAAAAACAAATAATTCAGTATATCGAAGCGTAAAAGCGCCAGAATAGTTACAGAAAAAATGCCAAAGAATTCTTATTTTTAAATTCTTATGTTACTCTTATGGAGAATGAGTAAACTGTTGTAAAATCCTGTAAAAGGAACATATTTTGATTAAATTGTCAAATGAATTCATTTAACACGTAACTATTGACATTTCACACTTTTTACCCTGTCTCAAACACTTTTTGATGGGTCTGTAATTGACGGGTAACCTTAATATTACAAGTGACCACCGCGCGGAGTTGGAATTGGCCCTAAAAGTGACCACCGCGCGGAGTTGGGCTGAACCCTTCGGGGGCCATAAAACTTTTCCTCGGATTAAATTTGACCACTGCGCGGAGTTGGGCAATCCCCTAAACAATCCCTACCCAACCCTATTAATCATTGTGAATATATTAATGAGTAAAAAAAACTAACTGTTAACTTACAACTATATCTATTCAAGCACTTTCTAACAAAAAATTAACTATAGTGAGCAGAATGTGAAATATGCTGTACCAGAATACTGAAATGTCTTTGCCAATTGCTAAAAATTACAACTATTTCTTTCACAAAAGGTCAATGAACTTTACAACAAAACCAAGTATTAGAACTATAAGGAGTATACGGATTTGATTTGAATATCCCTTTGGGTTGGATATGAAGAATTAAATTATATATTTTTTTCGACAAGTTCATAAAAAAAACTGCAAAAGGAAAACAAGGAAATATCAATTAAGTTTTATAAGGAAAATGATCTGAGGATTTTGCAGAAGGAAAGCAGAAGTGTAAGTGTGCTAATTGGAAAGTATTAATGAGGCTATTGTTGAAGTGTTCTCAAGCCATTTTGCCCTCCAGACTATTTTCTCCTCAGTTCAAGTTTGTTCTTCAGATGTTCATGATTATTGTAATTATTTAATGCATTTTATACTGTTGTGCAGTTGTGTTTAGTTTGTTTTAGGGATAATTTGTTTGTTTACTGCTCTTTATCATTAAATCCTTTCTGTGTTTAACGTTTACGTTCTCTTTTACTTTTTATAATGTGAGAAAAAGTAGATTTTGTGTTTAGTCCAACATGAAACAGGTATGTGTATTTCAAGTTTTTAAATAAGAATTCTTGTTCAACAATACCAAAGAATAAGTATTAAAAGTGTAGTTTTGTTCTAAGCCTCAATCAAAATTTTAAAATATATTAGAATGATGTAACGGATAACTTTATAACCTTTTAATGTTGAAATATATTGGTTTTCATTTCTCTGTCGGTTTTCTAAATCAACAACAATATAGTAACTTTTTTACAAGGAAATGTTAGTACCTGTATAAAAGGTGTTGTGTCTCAAAAGCGTAACTTAAAATTATCAAACCTATATTTATCAGTAACATATTTACAACCTATATGTACGGGTAGTTTACAACAGTCTGTTAGATTTTTTAAGTAAAACATTATAGTGAAAGGCTGAGTAGCACTGTAATGTGAGTACAGTATTTTAGGTTGATGTTTATTTATTTATTTTATTTAGAGAAATTAAAAAATTGAAACAAAAAAAGAAATAGGGTTTAAAATGTAGTTAGTAAGTTTTGAAATGTCAATATTAGAACCAGGTAGTTCACTCATTGTATTAAATATGTTGAAATAAAATCTGATTCATGAGTAATCAAACCATATACTTGTACTATCTTTTTCTAAAAAAATATAGTTTGTATTAATCCGTTTAAGAGCTTACTTAACTGTCACGTAACTCCCACTAACTGAATATGGTAGTATATTATGGAAATAACTTTTATCTAAATATATTTTTGTAAGATTGATAATTTTAAAAGTAGTTGACCTACATTAGTAGAATTTAGATAGCTTAATTTACTCAGTGATATTCAAGAATTTACAAAACATGTTTGTTTGGAAGAATTATGATTCACCAAGAGTAGTCAAGTTCAAATAGTGTCTATAGTGATAAGGCTAACACGTCACGTTACTCCAAGAGTCCTTACAAACTAGCCTACAATGAACTTGTACGAAGTTAAATTGACTAATAAAATAATTTAAATGCCTATTAATATATAGATAAGAAAGTTGAATAGACAAATTCTGAATTTTTTAACTGACAGAAAAGTTTACTTTATGTCCTCCATGACAGTTACCGGTAACATATTTTCAACCTCCTAAAGCAGCTGAGTATATTTCTTACTGTACAGATATTTGACACTTTTTGTGTGTCCTAGAAAATTTTGACTTAAGGTCTTGCATACTTAAGAAGTATTTATTATCTCCTTGAGGAGTAAGACCAGCTCTTTTAGCTTCTACAACAAGTTTACTACATTGTTTACCTCCAACATAATTTTTAATGTTTCTCATATCCATGAAAATTTAAAACTCTTCTCTTCCGCAGGCACCAGATCAAGCAGTAACTCCCCGCTACAACAGCTGATCGCCGTGTCCAACAAGACTCCCCCGCCACCACCCCCTCGCTGGGCCAAACCCTCCCCCTCCCCTCATCAGAACATCACTGTCACCACGACTGTGACGTTCTCTATGAGTCAGGAGACGACACCTCCCTCGCATGTGGAAGTCTCTTGTGTTCAGGTAAATTGGTTGATCACCTAGTGGACCCACGTGAATAAGTATAATATGTAATGATTTTCAGACTGGTACAGTGAAGGTAGTTGCTGAGTTAAACAGATTAATAACCTATTTCACAGAGAAGTAAGGTACAGAGGAACAATTCACAATTCAATGGTACACTCGAATGGTGGCTAGCACTAGTGCTGGTGTCTAGGGCAAAGCCAACACCGCCCCCCTCGTCCACAAGTACTACAAACCTCATGGTGGAGGAAGACCCTATGCCATGTGCAATAGGAGTTTTTGCACAGTGCTCCCCATTCGGGCCCTTCCTTGTTTTTATCTAAAATATATTTCAGGCACAACGTACCACAACTAAAAGAGCACAGTTGTTCCATAAGTGTGTTTCCTCTGTATCTTAATTCCCTCTGCCTTTTTGGACTTAGAATGTTTGTAGAAAAGATTCTTGAATTTTAGCCGCCAGATATGGTTTAGATACTTACTAAACAATTGATGGGTTACCTGCATATAATTCAAAGTAATCAAAGTATTGCTGTGAGGAAACTAGTTTTGACTATTCCAATCCGTCTATCTTCAGACTCAATACAATTACATAATAATACTGCAAAACAATGTGCAGGGAGCACATAAAGTAGTAGAGTTTGGTGAATTTATCGGTTGAAATTGAAAAAAATGTTTGGTCATGTAACTATTAACTAGTCACCATTTAATTTTACTGTGATCTATGACAAATTAAATGTCATCTATGTCATCATTTGTCATAGATCACAGTTGATGTTACAGAGTAGTTACAAGTGTGAGTCTTTCTTTTCAGTGTATCAAGTGACTTGATACAATTAATTAGCCTGTATAGGGTTGGATTTACAACACATTGTATAGAAATTTTTAAAAATCTCATGCAATTAAAATAAGTCAACTTTGTTACTGGTGTATTTAGGTTTTATTGGTGAAAATTGAACATAACTCATTATTTAACTTGGGAGTTTCCCTTTTTTACAATCTGGGTAGGCCTAAGGTATAGGTTTGTCTCTATTCTAACCTCTCATAACACATTTATTTCAGGTAACACCAAAGATAGTCAACCTAGAACCAGAGAATTTCCCTTCTCTGAGCAGCACGTCGACTTTGGAGTCGCGGACAGGACGAGAAGCTCCAGAACCTGCTCCCAGAACACAACTAACCTCCCCTGCGGCCTCCTCTGTTACCTCCCCCGCTCCCTCTTCTCTCACATCTCCCTCCCCTTCTTGCCTCACTTCCCCCACCACATCAACTGCTGTTACCTCCCCTACTCAGTCCCGTCCGCCTCACCGACGCAGCAAGCGACATAAGGAGTCCAGGCACTACCAAGAGTCTGATATCCTCGAGTCACCGACTGTTTACTACAGGAGCTCTGTAGCTGATAAGGTGAGACTCAAAACTTGTTAACAATATTCTTATCAGAAGGTTACGGTACGGTCTAGCGATTGGTGATTGGGAGTGCTTCTTTCCTCCCAAAGCTCTGGAGAGATTCCTAAAAAGTCAATGCAACAGGTATATGTTGAGGAGATGGGAATTATCTCACCTATCAGTTGGTCAAAAGTTGGAGAGCACCACCTAAACATTAGTTACATCTGTACCCTACCCCTACCCCACACAAGTTTCATGTGATATATGAAAAAATGAGTTTTGTGTGTGTGAGTACGGAATAGAGTAGTGTCAATATATAGTGATTAGAAAGTGGCCTGTTGGTAAAATTTATTCAGACAGTTCAAACATTGTCAGTTATGTAACTGCTATTCAATTTCTTCCTCCACAAGAAACCTCCTGCCTAGGTGCAAAATAATCAATTTGGTTGTAAACCTGTTAAACTGCCTGTTAAACTACCTATTTAATTTTTATCTTATTGCCGATGCAGCGGTCTGGGTGTTTATTCGGTGAGTTAGTTGTGCTAGCATTCTTTCCTCCTTAGAGTGTTCCAAAGCCAAGTCCCTTTATCTTCAAAAATAGGTTCAGTTATACTAAACTTCCATTACAAATCTCCATGTCAGTTCAGCTCAGTTACTTTGTACCTTTAAACTGTAGGTGAGCGACTACGAAGACATTTGGGGTCCTGAGTCCTTATCTACCTTCAAGCCTGTGCGATCTCCGTTCTCATCCCCAGACGAGAACCGCGCACCAGTGCCTGACATTCTAGAGAGGGTTCCCCCGGCGCCAGCCACTGGTACCGTCTCTAGTGCCACGTCCGGCGCAGGCACTGGCCCTAGGAACCGATTGGGGCTCAGTGTTAACACAACCACACCTCTCTCACCTACAACCGTGTCCGAACTGAAGACTCCTGACTCCCAACCCACGGTAAGAAATTGTTGACAAGGAAAGGTGTATTATGTTAAGGAAATCTATTAAATTAAGTGATTCTCTCAAGACACTTTTACTCAGTTTTAACTGACAATAGATAATATACCTTTCCCATATTGATTAAGGAACAATAATTAGAAAACAATTTCTGCCAAAAAAGTTTTTGTTTACTTAGTTGGTTGAAAAAACTTGGGTGTGATTGAAATATAAATATGATGATTATCGTTCTTTAGCTATTTAACCAGTTTTCGGATGCACTGGTGTCTAAAATTTAACATAAACAACATCTAGTTTTCAGTGTAGGTTACTATCTACCACCTATACATATTGCCCTAAAATTTCATGGGGGCTCGCAATATATATATTTTTATTCTTTCTTAAAACTAAAAAGACAGATGTAGGTAAGTAGGTAATGGCCTTCTTTTCTTTCCTGTTCTAATTGTGTGTATGCCGACTATCTCAACTAGAGTTGTGTCACATTTTAATTGTAACCTGATGATTGAATTATTATTTTGAAACCGGTCGCTATGTAGACAAAAGTTGGACCACCGACGGACACGTACATTAAAACCATTTCATGAAAACTATAGATTCACAATAGTTTTTACATATTCTAGAGCAACGGCAAGCAGGGCAGTCCGTTCTACGCTGAGCCTGCCGACGCCATCAGACAGGCTGCACTGTTGAAGGTACAGAGGAGACAGGTCAAAGTTCACTCCTCCAAGAACCATCGACAGTCTGATCCTCTTCCTCTCATACAGTGGCCGAACCCTGCACCTGCATCTGGCCTAGAGAGGATAGACTCTAAGGTTTGTCAGATTTATTATTTTAACTAGGGTTGTCCATACGATGACCGCATTTAAACTATTTACATAACTAGGTTTTATACCTCAGGTTAAAAATAGTCCTGAGAATGGACTTTTGGCAAGTGAACACTTTTTTGGCCTCTACAGAGTTATCCCATAGAATAACTCCATAAGCCAACAAGGAGTGAACATATGCATGATGATGATATACTGTCAAGCAGATAGTACACTTTAGAATACCTGGTTGACATTAATTTTGAATTTAAATTCAGACCTAAAAACTTTACAATTTGTGTATTACTGATTGGTGTCTATAACGTTATTTCTAAGCTTAAATTAGAGAATATTAGTTTTACATTCGTTACATTTACATTAATTTTTTTAATTGTGCTGCCAAAAGTAAATTTTAGTGTTTTTCTTTTTAAAAGATCAGTTGTAGTGAAAGTACAGTAAGAATAGAAAGTTTTTTGGAAAAACAATTAATTGGGCAAGTCATTAATAAATAATAAAGGTCCAAGTATGGAACCTTGCTGAACACCGTATGTAACGCTGGCTAAGTTAGAATAATATTTTATTGAACTGTTTATTACTATTGTGTGCTGCTTTCGATTGAATAGGTATGATCGTAATAATTCTAGAGCCATTCCCTCCAGGCCAATATTATTAAATTCTATCAGTAGTAACCTGTGGTCACACAGTCAAAAGCCCTGGATAAGTCACAGAAAACTACTGCAGTCAACTGTGACTGATCCAGAGCCTCAAAAACACACCTAATAAAAGTAAAGCAAGCTTTATGGGTGCTTGGATTTCTTCTAAAAGTAGAATCTATCAGTGTTAAGGTTCCATGAAAAATGTGAATTATAGTTCAAGGAAGTTATTTTCAATTGTAGAAATAATTTGGAAAAATATTTACTTGTCCTATATAGGGAATAAGCTATTTACTTAATGGTTTTTCATCCAGGAATATTCTTTGCAAGTACATGAATTCAAGTATTGAAATGAAAAAAAAAACTTTACACTACAAAAAAGTTGTAATGTAGATGTTTAGGTTTTTAAAGGTTCACTATAATTATGATCATAACCATGTTAGAAGTTTGATACGTTTGGCCTTATATGTTGATTTGAAACCAGTTCCACAGTGTGTTAAAAGTTTTCCACTAGATTTCAAAGACCCTGTTCATACTGAAACAATGACTCACTTGTTAGATAATATTTAGATGTTGTGATATCACTCATACAAACTCATCTTTGATTGTAGTTCATTGGCTAGCAGCACTACCATGCTTGAGTAGTGCTGAATTTAATTGGAAACACAATTTACTTTACTAAAATTGTTCTCTATTTTACTGATAAAAACTAAAAAAAAATTAAAGTGCTCGTTGATTTCATGTAAGTAAACAATTTTTCAAACCATTATGATTTATGTTGAGAATTGTTTTGTACTTGCTAATTGTAATACATACAAATATATTGTACCCCCTTCTAGAACATTAAATTGTTCATATATTGCACTTACTGTTCATACAGGACTGTTTAATCAATAATACTTAAGTTTATATTTATTTACTTTGAAAAGTGATTTCATATAACTTGTTTGAGCTGAGTTCTTCTATTTAAAAAATGGAGAGTGTATTTACTAACTTTGTTATTGTATTTTGTGTATTCACTAGTAGCTTTGTAAACGGACATATAACCAAGTCATGTTACTTATTTTTAGCTCAAAGAAAAGCAGTATTACTAGTTGGGGGTTTAAACCAAAGTATGATTGTGATAATTTTATGATGATGATTCTTCATAATTATCTGGAAAAAATCCCACAACTGCAATATGTAAACTACATTAATAGTTAACCTTACTGACTGCACTTGTACGCTGTTACTTTACATAAACAGTATTGATACTAGTTGTTACTATTGTTAAAGATAGCGTCCCCCACCTAATTGTGTATTTTAAGATGAACCTAAATAATGGGTAGTTTAGGATGGAGTGGGATGATCTGTGTAGCGTTGTTACCCCTCAGCTATCGGGATGACGTGGGTCAGTTTCAAATTTCGAACCCTTGAAAAAGCTACTGACTTTACTTAGGATTAAACCGGCAACTTTGACATTGTTAGGCGAGCACTATAATTTCTCAGATACCAAACTATAATAAGTGCCCTTGAACAATGCTTGGCAAAATAATATGCTAATTTCAATTTTATGTTGACAAGACTGTTCTTTTGCCAAAAACCGTTTGAAATGTTATTGGTTTTGACCTGTGTTACAGGAGGAGTTGAATACGAGTGGGAGTGGCGCCGGTCTGTCTTCGTCAGTTGACAACCTCGCACAACTGCGCCAGAACAGAAACCGAGTGCGCGCTAAACCTGTGCAGCCGCCTAGAGTCGGCTTCCGAGCATTCCACGACACCTCCTGGACTGTAGACTCCAGCTGGGAGTTCATAGGTTAGCAATATGAGAATAACTTCAATCTTAATCATATACTGAGTCTTAAACAATTTACTATAACAATAAACCTTCTGAGTAAAATTGGAATATACGAGGTCTCTAAAAGAGTATGTGGCCTTGTTCAGAAAAGCATAATTTTTTGATCAATTTGTTTTAACATTTGTGATCTCCTTGAAAATAGTCCCCTTGGGACTTCACACACTTATTCCAGAGCTTCTGCCACTTTTGGAAACAAACCTGGTACTCTTCCTTCTTAATGAACTTCAGAGGAGCTGTCACATTTTGCATGATCTAATTTCTGCTCTGAAATTGGGTCCCTTTAAGCAGCATCTTCAAATTAGGAAAAACCCTGAAGTAACAAGGTGCCATTCAGTGAGTAGGGAGCCTGGCGTAGCACAAGAGTGCCATATTTTGCCAAGAAACCAAGATTGGAAGATTGTGCTTGAGCATTGTTCGGATGAAGCCACCAAGAGTCCGTTGGTGCTTGTGACATTACTGCATTGTGCATGCGCTGTAGAACCTCTAAGTAGTACTCTTTGATAATTTTTTGGGTATGTACTTGTGATAAACTACTCCGTTGCAGTTAAAAGAAATTGTCGACTTGGCTTTGATTTTTTTTTTTTGCTGCGGTTGATGATGAATGTTTCCACTGAGAAGACTGCACCTTGGTTTTGGGATCAAAATCTTTACACCCACAACTCATCACATCATAAATTATAACTGTTTTGAGAAGGTTTGGGCCATTCTGAATGTATTATAGAATCTGTTGATCAACTTCAAGGCGCAATTCCTTTTGTCAGTCAAGTTCTTTGGGACAAATATTGCAGCAACTCTGCGCATAGCCAAATTGAATTAACTAAACCAATACTGATTCCAAAATCGGTAAATAGTTCACAAACAGTAATACGTCGATCCTCCATCACTAAAACTCTCTTTATCGATAACTTTATCATTTAGACTCGTTGATGGTCTCCCAGAGTGAAGTTCACTGGCCACCGAAGTGCGGCCATCTTTGAATCTGTGTGAGTCATGGCACAGGTTGCTGTTCAAGCCATTAGAATTTAGATCCAACAAGAGGGAGTCTACGACACTTCTGGAAATAATTTCTGTCTTGTCTAAAATCCTTTTCTTGCACCCCAGGTAATGAGGACGGGGGTTCTGATGGTGAGCAGGAGAGTCCAGAGGAAGCGTTTGTGATGGAGAGAAGATTCCCCTCCTTGGAGCAGCAGGCTGATGATGCTGAGTCAATGAGTCGTCACGGCAACGGAGTCAGCATCCATGACATAATCTCTCAGAGGTTAGTAGAATGTCTGTACGTCAAAGCTGAGGAAAGAGAAGTAATAAGTTAGATTGGTTTTGCAGAAACAGAAGAAGTGCAAAAGCATCAGATTTGGTTTTCGATCGTAGACCATGTCCTTGTTTCTAATGGAATCATTAGCCTACCTTACACTTTTATGTACTCTGTTTGATGAGCACTGTTCTTTCTTCTTTCTCAATGGCAATTTAAATAGTTAAATCGATGTAATGGAGAACTTCCGTGTTGGAAAGGAATTGTATTCGTGGTATAATCTAGTTTAATTGAACTTAGGTCTAGTATTATTAGATCAGGATTGTTTTTAAAAAAGTGTGCTAATCTCATGCAATTTAATTTCATTGTTGCCTTTGGATAACTGTTTGGTATTATAAAACAATTATGATTTTGTTCTCTCTCAGGTTTCCCTCCCTGCGACTGTCACCAAACCTGTCCTCCTGTCATCGAGGTGACTCTGGCGGCCGAGCTGACTCCAACAACGGCTCTAGAGTCTCGGCCTATGACAACGTTGTCAACAACAACCACAAGCCCATCAGCATTTGTCTCAACGGCTCGGGAAACTCTGACAACGACGATGCATTGGTCAGTATCTTGTTCTTTACTGTTAGTTTTTAATTTTGGATTCTAAAGTGGACATCCCCTCTATGTGGATTAGCTATTTCAGATTTTTATAACTGAATGAGTCACTTTCAAGAGTCAGTTCTTTTTAAAATTCTATTCCCTCTAGTGTTGTACTATGATTGATATCTGATGTGCCATTAAATATGCTATTACTTACAATCTTTTAGTTGGGTATGTTTTAAATGTTAGAGTGCAAGACAGAAAGAAAACAATGTGTTATGTTAAACCCCACTGCTTTAAATTCAAAGTACTGGAGTTTCAACATTATTGTCCCTAAGTTAGTCACCATCATTTTAACATGGGAATGGGTAATCTATTTAACATTGGTGTATCCATAGTAAAAGGTCATATGTGAATTGTTTGGGTGATCCCTACATTAAACATTATTTAAACCTACAAAATTAAGCAGGCTTCATTAGGATATACAATCAACTTCCCTTGTTTTATATGTGCTGATGAGTGTTTTGTTTTAAGTTCTTACATGTGGATTAAAACATCAGTCATTTTTACTCACACTATTTTTATTGGTTTGAAGTTAGTTATTATTTTAAACGTGTTATTGGATTTTCACTCTGTAAAACATTGTGAAAGGTTACTCACTTGAGAACATAAAGTCTGCAGTTTGTTATATTCATAAAAATCTATTCTGTTTAGTTTGTCTATACTGTACCTCATTTACTCCCCAGGCACAATTCTTGCGTTAACCACATGTTTAATGTTTTCTGCAGACGGTATTCTCAGAGCCGTGGGACAGCTCCCGGTGGGAACACCTGCTCCGGGGGAGAGACAAGGAGGGGGAGAGTCCGGGGGATCAGCAGTCTGTGACCAGTCCCACAGGAAACAGAGCTACCACTGGCACTACCCCCTCCACCACCTCCACTGTCACTCGGACCAAGAGCTTCAAGGAGCGACTGGACCCTCTGCTCTGTAAGTAATTCTGCATTTTTACTAACATCTTTAAATTACAGATGTGTTGCGATGACTTTTGATCCTGGAGTATACTTCAATCCACATGCATTGTGCAATGAAAGCGTTCAAGAGACATGTATTTCAAATGGCCGTTTTAGGAATACTAACTGTTATATGCCAACTCGCCAAACATTTTTCTTATACTTTTTACCATTGTATGTTAAGAATAGACAAGCTACCTGAGTGATACATACAGTGATGCGTGTCTAACGGGATTTACCTACAGGGTGGGTCCAGCCATGGTCCTGTTTTACTCTATGTCACAGTAAAAGTACTGTTTTACTCTATGTAAGGTGCAAAGGAAACATTCAATAATGCACTTAAGTGGTTTCTAGCACCAGTCCCTGGTGTCCTACACTGTCGCTTCTCCTAAACCCCCCCCCCACTCTCTTCTCCCCTCATACTGCAATGCACACGCTGCAGGAAGACCCTATACCCTACGCGATAGCAACTTCTATTCACACTTGCTGCTCGGGCTCTTCCTTGACCAACACAAGTGCATGGCTTTAGCACCTAAGTAAAAGCATGTGCAATTGTGCGTACTAGAGCTGAAGGCGCTCGGTCTTCCCATGAGAAAGTTTTCTCTGTACCGGTACCTCACTTCTCTGTGCCTACATTCAGGCAGGCAATACCAATGTCAAAACCCGAATCATTGATCAATATATCAATTAATAAAATTAATAATCTTACTTAGTAAAATGTATTAAAACACTATCATGAGGGTCGCAAGGACAGTTGGCACAACCCGCTTGACAATAGAAATTATGCTACCAGTAATGTTAATTGCACAACCTCTGCACAGTGAACATGGAATTGAGTTTAGAATCTTATCTGTACCACATGTTGCTGAAATTTTTTCTGTAGTGACCGCTAGTGCGAGGGGTGGTGACCCAAGGTAATCCCAAATTGGGGGAGCAGGCAACCAAAGTTACCTTCTTGAGTACCAGCCCTAAACTGTTTGGCCTGGGTCACATATTTTTACGCCATGAATCATGATATCACAGCTCATCTACCTTTCTTTCTTTCAAAGTTGTCATATTTAAAACTTTTTGGCCAAATCAGATTTCATTGCAAAATGCTTGGATCGTTAAACATTTTTTGTTTCATCGTGGATCGATTGATATTTTTTAATTTTTTAATCACACTGAAAGCTCTCCTTGGTTGACTCCCAGATGGAACGAACGCAGAGATATCTTGATTTGTCTTTTTATATCGAAGAGATCTAATATGTTTAGGAATGGGGTGTCTTAACCTAATTAAATATTTCTGTTAGACCCGGCCCCTAGGCATCTACGCATTTGCCCCACTGTCGCCAGCCCTGACTTACCCTGTCTGTTGCATAGGTTTTGAAATGACAATGGTTAATAATACAGTTCAAAATTAATGAACTACTCATTCGTGAGAGCAGTCCATTCTTTGAGTCTTTAGATGAATGAAACTAGACGTTCCATTTTAAAATCAGAAACAGGTCACAGCTTTAACACGGCAACATGATATCAACTTCTGTTACTCATCTTGAAAGTTATAAATCTTAAAATATTTTTACGCTGTATCTTATAAATCAAAGTGCACAGGATGAAAGTATTTATCTAAATAAGAAGTAGAACGGAATGAAATCAAATCTTAAATTATTTCTCTCCTTTTGTTCTTTGATCTGTAACTTCATCGAGGTTTTGAGACATTTAGTGAGATGTATGAACTGGTTGGAACTGGCTCGATTGTAGACGAATAGGTAAAAAATCTTTCCTGACGTGACGATTGATTGTAGCTTCTCTCTCATTCGGATTATGTATATTCGCTTCGGAGGTCTTCCTCGTTCCCTTATTAATGTTGTACATTAACCTTGAAAACATTTAATAGTAATACGAATTTAAACCAAACTGGAATATAACTATTCTCTAAAACTGTTATTTAAACAAACCATACACTTTTTTTTTTACACGTAAATCAAAATGATGACAGTAAAAATAATCTGTATAGGCTGTTTTTGTTAACTTAAGCTACAAAAGGTATTGAAGATAACATGGCCACTTTGAAGAGCTGTAAGACGGAAACTGGATTTTCCCCAGCCTTGTGACCAATTCCAATCGATTTCTCGTGGCCAAATACCTTAAATTAAAGAAAAAAAAGAAAAAATCCTAGGAGAGGAAAAGGGTTTGCCCCTAAATGTTCTTATTTTAGATTATATGGTACAGTTTGAAGATCACAATATCATTATGTTTTTCTAAAAATATTAAAATATGAGTTTTCAAATTTAGTTAAATTCTACGATTGGCGTTGACTCTATCCTTAGTATTTGCGCTACAGTTATTTGATAAGTTACATCCATAAAAGTTTCAATACTATTTAATGTTTGTCACTTTAAAACACCATTGTGTTTTCTTTATGCATAAAAAGGATTTGATAGACAAATTCACAGAAACGAGACCTTTTTAAAAAAAATGCAATTAATTTAATGAAACAAAAATTGAGAAATTTAACATAAGTAGTTTGCCAATAATTTCCAGACTGATATTTGGCTTGCGGTACTGGATGAATTAATACATTTTACAAATTTGACTCCAAGTGGCCATTTCAAGAGTTGTTTTGTGAATTCGCAACTTGATTGTTTGGCAGATCCTGCTAGAAATATTCAGCAATGCTGGAATCTGAGGAGAATCTTTTTTCAAGAAGCTCATCATTCGATTGAGGTTTTCTTTCATCAGTTTCCTAGGAAGATTCACAAGTGTTCTTTCGTATCATGGAGGAAACAGCCTGATTCGATCACAGAAGATTTCCCCAGAACACTATGTTGATATTCTTCATCGACTCCTAAGGCCAACTGTAAAGTATTTTTCCATGATAGAGTAAACATCCAGGATTCAATCAGAGGAATGTGCCACAACCTCTAATCACATAATCTTAACATCCTGGATTCCATACTAAGAAATCAATGTGGAAAAGCTACGCAGAAGAAGATGAAGTCGGAGGTCTACGAACTTCTCAAGTAAGTTCTCAGAAGAGGAGTCACAAGGCAAGATGCAATCTAGTCAGGAGAGTCAAAGATTGCACAGCGATGTCTTGTATCCTAAAATCACAAAGGGCTTTAAGTCAAATTAATAAATCAAACGTTAATAACGCTGTAAACATATTTCAATTAAGTATAAGTTCCGTACTGTTAAATCTAATATGACCTCAACAAAAATAAATCTGCTTTCATGTCCCAAGGTTTCAATGAAAATGCAAACAGCCATAGAATCTTATCTATAAAATGTTCATTTTGTGTTTCTTCAAGCATTTATTGCATCAGACTATTGAATGAGTTCAAATTAAGCTTTACTTATGGTTTTTGGTGCATCCCTTTTATAAAGTGGGCGATCTTTCATTTTATACTATACATCTGACATCGCCAATGACACTGTATGTCTGTTTTCGTTAGTATGATAAATATTCATCATTATGTTTGTTGAAAACCTTAAATTTTCTTACCTTAGCGACGTAGTTTCAAGTTAAATCATCTTTAAAAAGTCATGATAGGGATGCCATCGTTAGGAGTTTTTAAAAAGTAGTCGTAAAAGAGGTGTCTTCATCGGTAGGTATGAGAGAGGTGTCTTGATCGGTAGTCATAAGAGAGGTGTCTTGATCGGTAGTCATAAGAGAGGTTTCTTAATCGGTAGTCATAATCTAGATGTCATAATCGGTAGTAATAATCTAGACGTAGTCATAATAGGGAGGTCGCAGTCGAAAACAAGGCATTGCTGTGCAATCTTTGACTCTCCTGACTAGATTGCATCTTGCCTTGTGACTCCTCTTCTGAGAACTTACTTGAGAAGTTCGTAGACCTCCGACTTCATCTTCTTCTGCGTAGCTTTTCCACATTGATTTCTTAGTATGGAATCCAGGATGTTAAGATTATGTGATTAGAGGTTGTGGCACATTCCTCTGATTGAATCCTGGATGTTTACTCTATCATGGAAAAATACTTTACAGTTGGCCTTAGGAGTCGATGACGAATATCAACATAGTGTTCTGGGGAAATCTTCTGTGATCGAATCAGGCTGTTTCCTCCATGATACGAAAGAACACTTGTGAATCTTCCTAGGAAACTGATGAAAGAAAACCTCAATCGAATGATGAACTTCTTGGAAAAAGATTCTCCTCAGATTCCAGCATTGCTGAAGGTTTCTAGCAGGATCTGCCAAACAATCAAGTTGTGAATTCACAAAACAACTCTTGAAATGGCCACTTGAAGTCAAATTTGTAAAATGTATTAATTCATCCAGTACCGCAAGCCACAACAGGAATTTGTACATCTTGCCCCAATTTCAACGAGCAGGATCAGTAGGGGGTTTTTTAGCATTCTTGGGTTTTGGGGGTATCGTGTTTATTCTTTTGTACAAGGCCTCTTCCTTTTGGTACTCGTAGACATTTTTTATAGAGTGAGCAGTCTTGAGAACCACAGCTGCCACAGTCACAGTGTGAAACACGCGATGGATCAAGCTCATTTTCACAGTGCAATTTAATTTTGTTCAAGCTAAATAAAAATCCTTCGCTTTCATAGAAAATTTAAGAAGGAAGTCTTGTGTATCTATGGTAACAAACTGTATTTAATATAATTTTGTCCCATATGTGATGAATCTTGACACTTGTTATTTTTAATTTTTCAAATCACTGCAGGGCAAGTCTTTTATAGTTTGATCAATATGATGAATTTAATGCACTTAAAAAATGTTATATTATAAAATCAGTTGGATATATCAATGTCAAAGGAACAGATAATTATTCCTTATCGCGTTAGATTATATTTATTGTAGGGGCTGGTACTTGCCTTTTTTGGTCTACTTTTAACAATCATTTGTAGATGAGTTAGTTTGAAGATGTGAGCTGTGTTCCAAGTTTTGGAATAGACTAACCATGGAGTATGTTTAATCTTTTCCAATTTAAAATTGCTTACACTGTCATCTATGTACATTCTTTGT